TGAACAGTGTGGGCAAAGGGCACTCTTTAACTAGACGCTTGAGATCTTCATTGTGATTGAATGTTTTCAAATAATCTAATCTTATCTCTACAAGGTCAGCACCAAGGCCTTTTGCCTTGCCCATATCAGTCACCATCTCACCCACTGATTCGGCGATTATCGGAACACAAACTAGAGTCGAATTCCTCCTCATCATCCCCTCACCACCGACTTTCAGGGCATCAGAGCAAGAACTAAGCTAAAACTCAACCAAAAAGAAAACAGTGAGAAAATTCTGTTCACATAATTGTCGGTGCAAAACACTCTATGCTTTTCTTGTTTTCCCTTTTATCAGACAAGTATATATATGATATCTGTTTGGTTGCTGAGAAAATTTCAGGAAAATATGTAGCGTTTGACTGTTTATAAGCTTCTCTGTTTCCTACTTATTTTCTTGGCAACGAATCAGATAGACAAATATCTGATAATGTACTTCAAATTATTCATGAACCCAAAGCCGAAAGGAGGAAAGGAAGATCAAAAGGCATAGAGGCAGTTACCATAATGTCACAAGAGAATGAATGGAAGAGAAGAGAGCTCAGCTGAGAGATATGAGAAAGACTGGGAAAGAATGTCAAAGCACAGAGTGCCGTGTTGCGCATCTGTAATTAAGAGGGAGATTTGAACCGTCCTCTCTTATACTATAGGTACCTACGTGGCATTACCTGATTGGGATGTCAAATTCTGATATTATCCTTCTTTTGGGCAAGGGGTCCGAATTATTGAGGGTTCCGGTGCGAGAGCCATGACCCACCCCACATCACAACGGGTTGGTAGTAAGTCCATCATGTTGGTATAGCAAATTCATGTGAAAGTTTTTTTTTTCTTGATCGAAATGATATTTGTGTATATAAACTTAGATACTACGATATAAATGGCTTGTAGTTTAAGTAATTAAGAGTTTTTATTTAGAGCGATGTTAAATGAACTCTAAAATTAATTGAGTACACACTACACTACTACCAAATTATTTATTGAATTACTAATTTATCCTAATATAAAATTATCAAAAAGGATAAATTTAATTGTGAAACAAATATAATTTCAATTAGTACACCCTACTTATTTATTATATTCACCTCTAATCAAACGTAGAGATTTCAAACTTATTGGATAATTAATATAAACGGTGGAGGAGTAAGAACAATAGGAATTGATTTGATATTGTATGATAGTGTGTACTCAGTTAATTTTAAGATTCGTTTAACAACACTCTTTATTTATATATAAGTTGAAGTTTATAGCATCTTTGAAAGAATCTAAATTTTGAAAGTTCAATTTCTCCTTTTTAAATATCACGTGTATCAGAACTTCCACAATATGATTGAGCCGTCTCAGCCGCTGGTCAAAAAATTTAAGAAACTAGACCAACCAAACTCAATTGGATTGCGCAAGAAGACTAGTTGGTGTTAAAATTGGAAATTAGTGTTATAACATGTGGCGAAATGATTTTGAAACTTGTACATTTTAACCAGAGCACCCATGTGGTGTGCCAAATTAAAATAATATTAAAACAAAATGTTCATGTTTTGTATTGTAACGAAAACAGGTCTGCTGATATTTTGTTGATTAGCGTGCCGGTTTGTTTGAACCATTCTGACGACTCAATAATAAAGGACAGAGGCTGTGACCGTACGTGTCTATTTTACAGTGGTTTAACTTGTCTTTTTCCGACTGAGACATCTTAAATGCCTATAAATATAGAAGACAAGTCTCACCATTTCATTTAGAATTCTATAGGATTTTCAAAGGCCTTTATATTTTTTTTTATACATTTAGGAGGTTGTAATCGTTGCGGAGCGAAAAAACTTGCCTGTCTCATGCTTCATGTACATTTTTTTAGATATTTTTTCCTTTATATCGAGAGAGAGAGAGAGAGAGAAAAAAAAATGTACGCAAATAAACATGGTACATGGAAGGTTTTTTTAATTTATTTTTGGTCTGGAAAATGTTACATGGAAGTTTTACTTCATACGAAGAGTTATTTTTCTGTCATGTCTATTATAATGGACCATCAGTTTTAAGTTGTGTCCTTTTCTCATTTTTTTCGGGTGAAAGTTGTGTCCTTTTCAAACTGAGGCATCTGACAGATATAAATAAATAAAGGCAAGTCCCCATCAATTCATTTAAGTTGTGTCTTTCATTGTTTTAGATGAACAAAAAGTGTAGGCGAGGGAGAGGCTATCCCCACACTAATGTGGAATTATTGGAAGTGGGACTTGAATACTTATGGGGCAACACATAGTATAGAGACCTTATTAGTATTTTTTTTACTTTTTGTTGAGGCTCAAAAATCCAAGGGGCTAAGCTCAAATTAATTCTTGGCTCAACACAAATAAGAGGACGCAAAATAAGCTCAATCGGGACAAAAGAGATTTTGTAGGATCCACCAATACAAGCTAGAAGTCACGTATCATGCCAAGCAAGCACATACAAAGGGGCCAAGAGCATGCCAACATTTCAAAACCACGCTCACATATCCCTTTGGTGTTACTTGGCCCAATTATAGCCTATCACAGCATAATAAAACCCAAGCACAAGCATAGGCATCATGCAAGAAAAGGCATTATTCTAATTTCAAGACGTGTCACGAGCTTAATTGGGCCCAAGCCACAAAATTAACTTGGGCTTACTGAGAAGTTGTGGCATGGAAGGGAACAAGCAATCACAGGGCCCATTGAAGGTTCGAGGAACGCAAGTTTTAAGCCACTTGGAGGCATTAAAATTCAAGCTCGTTCCTAGAACCCAAACACACGGGTTAGCATGAGAGAAAAGAGAAAATGGTCTCATGCTTTAGGAAAACATCCAGTGCCCTACCATAATACTTAGCCCAACCCACATCAATAGAATGTCCAAAATTAACAAAAGCCTTTTCCAGCTGTTTGACGAAAACCCATTAGAAATAAAAGGCCAACAACCCAATGTTGCACATAAGCCCAGCCCAGTGACTTGTAAAAAGCTGACGCCGTGCTCCCTCCTTGTTAGGACTCCAAGATGGTCAAGTAGGAAGCCATGACAGGAACCAACAGTAATCCATGAGTGTAGGAAGAAGACCTAGCGGGCAAAAGCTCCATCCATCTTCTTTCCCGTTGCAAGCTATGTTTTGAAAAATGTTGAGAGAAAGCAAGTGGCGCCTCACCCTTATAGGAAGGTCCAACTGCATCAAATCCTTGGAACTACAAAGGGTTCCTTTCCCACGCACCTTGAGAGGAGAATTTCACCAAAATAGGATTAAGTGGGGAGCTGCCAAAGGAAAAGGAAGGAGAAGATCAGATGAAATTAGGGTTCTTCATGCCTATAAAAGGGGGCCCCTTCTACCCAACAAAACCACCATTCGAAACCTGACCAAGCTTTGTCAAGCATCTGAGAATTTACTCAAGCCACCCAATTTCCTTCTTCGTTTGTTTTATCTTCTTCCTTTAGGATAGAAATCGTTCTAGTTCTTCTCAGCCTTACTTCGAACTTTTGTTCTCTGTAGAAAATTCATGCTTTTCTCTCTCTCTCTCTCAAATTGCTAAACTTGTGAAAGCTTAGCTCTCATGCCACAGACTCCTCAAGCTAAGTCATTAATCGATTTATCATGTGTTACTTGGCTATTGGTGAAGAGAACCTAAGAGTATTTTTGTAAAGTTTCATCAGACTTTTCGAAAACTCTTTTGGGAGCTTGATTTCGAACTCAGATACTTGGGGGATCTTTCTTTTCTTTTTTTACGATAGCCCAAGTCCATTCGTCAGACTGCTGGAACAAAAGTACTCCTACACTTTTCATTCTTAGAAATATCAAGTTTTAATGTGAGAATTAAAACATAGCTTGAGTTTGCTTTTCTTTGGGGATTGAAGTGTTGCTACAAGAATTCGATTGTTGTATCTTAGGACACATTTGCCAAATAAATCCTAGAAGCACTAGTGAGCAGACAATTTCGTCTTAAGAAGATAGTGTCAAGTTCTAGACTCAATTATTTGTAAAGTTTTCATACTTTGAATTATATTTTTCTTTTATTATTTGCAAATTTATAATGTAATTTTATTTTTGAAATATCTATAAATATAGCAATTATTATTATTTTTACCAACAGCTAACCTTTTATATTTTTATCATTATGGGTTTGATGTACTTTAGCTGTACTTATTTGTATAAGGAGGACATGGTTATAGAGTTCATATTACATATAAGCTCAATCAAGAATTTTTATTTTTATTTTTATAAATAAATTGGGGATAGGAGGATTTGAATTTGAGACATCCTTTAATATTGAGAAGAGAGATATCTAGCCTTTTAGTAAATCGCTTAGATTTTAGATTTTAAATTTCAAATTTTGGGGTGGTAGTACGTAACCATCAAGGGCATTTGGTAAGAGAGCGATGACAAAACATGTGCTGGGTGATACTTCGATCCTCGCATCTGAACTGCATGTACGGTTTGAGGGTTTTCTCTTTGCAAGTTGAACAAACCATGTCAAATGAAAATAAAGTTGAATAAAATTGAGTGTAAATTTTATATGTAGTTATTAGGAGCAACATTGCTCTCATTTTTTTGTCCAAAAAATAAAAAAATAAAAAAATAAAAAATCATTGCTCTCATTTTATTTATATATATATTTATTGTACCATCCCTATCAGGATGTCCTTGTTTTTCTTCAGGTAAGGGCATTATTTTTATCATAAACATTTCATCTATATATATAAAACAAAAGACAGAGAATTGTGAAATATTCAAAATACCAGAAAATACCCTTGGTTAATTTAAATATTAAGAATTGAAATTATTAATTAAATGAGGATAATATAGTAAATTCATATTTTATATATTAAAAAAATTAAAACTAAAAACAAAATCAAATAATAGGTCCTACTTTTATGGAACATAACTACCATGTTATCTTTTCTTAATTCTAAAAATAAAATAAAAAATAAAACCAAGTGGCACATGCGTGAACATGTGCCAAGGGGCTAGTTAATTATTAAAACTTCGTCATCTATTTTTTTTGTTTTTCTTTTAGTTCTAATGTAGTTTTCATTATTTTCGTGTTTCCCATAAATTCATGCACATAATTATATTACAACCTGAGCTTTTCAAGGTAAAATGCTCCATATTTTGTGTTTGCTTGACTAATTGCATTAGAACATCCCCAACCCCGTCCGTGGCTTGTTACACAAGACATTACCAGCAGCAAGGGTGTTTGGCTGTTTGGCATGCAGAAGTATTTATTCTTTCAGACTGAAAGCTCCAGAAAAGAAATGACAGAGCGTTATGCCTGATAGAGGGGTAGAGTATAACAAAGAGTTAGAAGACTCTGGTGACACGGCATAAAGCAATGAAGAGTTGCATAAAACTATAATCCCTGGGCACGAACAATACAAAGAAGCGATAACAAGTATTTTGAATAACAAAGAGGTGTTAAAATGTCAAAAAGATGCACACAAACTTGCTCAAGGAAAATAATAAAAGTAATAATAATAATTAGCTAAACAAACCTCAAGAGCTAATTGTCCATTACTTTCCGAAAGAGTTCCTTTGGGGCTGCAAATTACAGTTCAAAGATGAAAATAGCCAATAAGAATTGATGCCACGTTGATAGAATGTAAATTTTGTATTAAATTGAAACTATATTAACAAGTGATATAGGTTAATCTTACCAGGCAACTCAGTGAACCTCTCAAACTGTTCATATGCCTGTCCAATGAACATTTCCAACCCACTTACAACTATGGCCCCTGACGCTTCAGCATCCTTCAAGAGTCTGGTCATTTTGGGGGTGTAAACAGCATCAAAAACCAACGAGTAAGATCTCAGAGCGTGCTGCCAAAACAGAAAGTCAATGAAATCTATTGCCTTTGAAAGTGACAGCAAGTTGATGAATCATTAAATAGCATTTGATCAAATTTGTGAAACATGAAACAACAATAGAATATGGTGCAAGTTGGTTTCATAGCTAGAGGTCTGAGGTTCGATCTTCAAAGACTATTATTGATGGTTTTCCAGGTAATTTTGTCCAGAAAAAAAAAAAATTAAAACACTTGAATCTGGTAAAAACCCAAGGACCTAACTAACCAGTTTCCTTAGTTTTAATCTATCGAGGTTGCCTCCTTAATTTCATCATATGGTAATGAATAATTAAAGGAATTAATGATTTTTTCCACATATAGTTTTGCTCTTGGGTGGCCTTTAATCATTTAACTCAAAACCTAAACGGGCGGTATTGGTTTTTTTTCCCCCCCAGGTCAATGGCTTAATGAGATGAGGTAAATAAGAACCTACCCTTTAAGCTTCTCGTGTGGAACAACGATGATATCCAGATAAGGGTCCAGTATGTTAACGAAGATATTAAGAAAGGGAGCCCAACAAACCTCTTTGTTAGGAAACAAAATCAATATATAAAAATACAAACTGAAAGGTGCAACCAAAGTAGACCAGTGGTCCACAGAAGACAATCATTACTCAACATAAGATATAACAAACTTAACATAAAGACGCACAAAACACACCAACTGAAACAAAACAAAAAAATTGTAAAAATCTGGCCCCAACAAACAAATAGCATTGAGATTAAAGGTGACATCAAGAGAGAACTACCACAATCGAAACAGAGTTAAGACAGTTGAGTGCGGCTGCAAGAGTACTTCAAGGTCTAGATTAGGATTAGAAAGACCGAACTAGGATAAGTTTCTTGACCAAGACGTAGAGGTAGGTTAGGTCTACAGGGTCTGGGATAAACCACAATATTTTAGAACATGTCTAGGACCCTTGGAGAAAAATTAGAACTCAAGTAGACAGATAGAAGTAGGAAAATCAAAACACAGAAAACTGATTAGAATGACATTCTTATCATCCAGAAGGTATTTTGGTCGACTGGGCCATTGGCTGGTTATCAGCGTCAGCTAAGACAACCTACTGTTCGAACAGAGGTCTCCAATAAAAGACACAAAGAATCTCGATGTACCGACCAATCATTGTGGTTGACCAGTAACTTACCTCAGTCAATCAATCCTTGGGGTTTATCCGTACCCTTGTCGACCAATCCTTTAGAAAACTCAAAATTTGAAGTACAGAAAAAAAGCCGTTGCATGCTTTTTCAAATACACCTTGCATCTTACAAAAGAAGGGTGAAACCCAAAGCTTAACAAAGGCTCTGGATAGGTGAAGGGGTGATACTCCTCCTTTTTCAAAGCGGCAACAGAGAGTTTTTCTCAGTATTAGTGCAGTGGATGTTTGTGAGTCTGCTCACCTCTTCATTGGTGAAAGAAATCACGGGTAAGCTTCACTTCTCTAATCTTTGTCTGTTTCTATTGCTTGTGGATCGTGATTACTTGCCATTTTTGTGTATAAGGGTAGTAGGCACTGATACTCAACTTACATAGCTCAATATAGTTCACACACTACACATTTGATCCTATTAAATAATAAACACACACTTCTAGGTATGAGTGAATATGTTGATGAAGACTTATTTGTATGAGATTAAATGTGTGGGTTTCCTAACTTAGGTTTGTCATAAAATTGTTAAAGGAGGAGATAGTAGAATTTAGGATTTTAGGTATGGCAAATTTCAATAATCGTAGAAATCCTAAAACTGTGATACTCCAGATTGGGTTAGCATGTGTTGAATCCCATTTCGGTTTTGTACTAGGTAGATCTGGGCTATATAAATGATTGCAAGGAGCCTCATTAGTAACTAGTCCCTTTAGGGTATATCACTGAGGTGGTGTATGCTTTTCTAGGTCGATATAGGTTATGTACGCGATTGCAGGGAGTCTCATTAGTAACTAGTACTTTGGGATATAGAGGCGTGAACTTCCCTAGGTCATGACATGAGCATAGGGGGTCATAAAATCCAAATGGAGGGTGAAGTACGTTAACAAAGATATAAAGAAAATGGGGCAGAGACTCCAAAGCACCAAGACTAGAGACAATGAATCACAGCATTGAGTTACGCATTTTTGCTTATAAGCACACACTACGCTTGACACACATAGCTTAAGATTGGAATTTGGTTTGGAGGAACCTATAGATCTCAAAGTCAAAATGTGCCTTAAATTGATAATACTTGGAAGTTAGAGAAATTTGACAGTGGACCAATCTTGAAAGTTGTCCATTAGGATTGCCAGGGTTTTAGGTTAACCCAAACAACCCAAACAAAAAAACCCCAATTTTTATTGGAGTTGTTTGATTCCGGCTAAACAGTTCTGGCATTAATGCAGGTCGGCAGCCATTTCAGTATTTGGTTTTTTACTTACAAATAGAAGGAAAATATATGGGAGAAATAATAAAAGAGGGAGGAGAAGGGAGGAAGGAGAAAATCTAGTGTAACGCAACAGAAAACGAAAACTAAAAACAAGTTCAAAAAGTTATTTTTGTTTTTCAAGTTTTGTTTCATACAATCTTTCGTTTCTCCATCCTCCCTCCCTCCTCTCTTCTTTCTCCTTCCTTTCTCCCTCAATTCTCCCATATGTTGTTCTCTATCTCTAGCTAAAAAGTGAGAACTACATGGTTACCAAAGGAGACCTAAGTGTTCATGTGTTTGTGAATTGAGGTTTATGCAGTTTGAAAGATATGTTGTATGCACCAAATTTTCACAAAACTTCGTCAGGTTAGATGGTGATAAGCCGAGTCATGTATGTGTCAAATCTGAATGCACTACTATTTCATATATCAACTCCTTGGAGATGTTAGCCCCTTTTCTCCATGTACACTAGATATCCCCATACATTATGGTACCAGCATACCACCAACAATGCATAGTCAGAAATCCTCATTCACATTAATCCAAATTATTCTTAGGCATCTTCATGTTAGCTACACTTACTACCACATTCTACCCTGGCATTGATTGCAAACGATAAAATCATCTGAAGTAACTTTCTTTCATCTATTTAACAAATTGTGCTAACTCTATCCTTTCAAAGTTGCGTTGAGTTTTTATTTCTATTGGCCAGTTCACCAATAATCTCACTATGTTATTTACGAAGATACCTAAAAGTTTGTCAAGTTAAAAGAATGTTGAATTTAGAATGCTAGGTGTTGCACACAAGTGTGTTACAATGAAAAACTTCACAAAAAGAAAACATTTTAAGAAAATTTCTTTTTAAGTTGGTAGAACTACAAAGAATTAATGCATTCATATGGCTGTCCACATTTTTCTGAACATAACAGTCATAACGGTCATATGCAAATTCAAATATGATCAAATATTTTAATACAAGGCCAGCCAATGATTTATAATTCAACAGAATGGGAGGGCGCCAAACCTTAGAAATGGGTGTCTCATCAACTTTTGGTTGCATTCCAATAGATGTTGTGTTAGCAAGAATCATGCCCTCCTCTGGGTGGAAATTATCTAAATCAGCAAGAGACAAAGCATCTCCTCCAATTGTGTCTGCTAGTTCTCTGGCTCGATCTTGAACAAAATAAAAATCAACCATGAGAACACAAAATCACAGTGATTCGTTTTTGAATGGGAAAATGGAAGTGGAGAATATTTTTTTTATTTTTTAAAAACAAGGTTTGTAGCTAACATGCTATACAAAGGTTGCACAAAATTTCAAGCAAAGATTTGAGGTGCAGCGCACTCCATTTTTAGAACATCATACTATAAACTACAATAAAGCACACTTCAAAGGTTGCACAAAGCTTTGAATGTCATAAATTTGATGTCAAAGTAGTTGATATATTTCTCAGAACATAGGGAAGGATACAGGTTGAATTGGATCCATGGTATCAAATTTTTTTCAATATGTGCACTTAGTTCAAAGAGATTGGTCATATCAAACATCTGACACAATCTTCTCAAAAGTTATCAATGCCTAAAACTAGAGCAAAATGCTGCACAAGATGCCAGAGACCTGCATAAATAAAGACATTCATCCAGCAAATGAATCAAATCTTCTTACAATTCTAAATAGCCCTATAAAATGCCAACCTGACTCTGACATCAGCTCAATTCTCGCCAAAAAGCCACCTTTATACCCAGAGGAACGCACTGTAGCATTCCCACCCTATATGAAAGAAATGTACATCACGGGCAATCACCTAAGCTCCAAAGGCCTTACCAACACTACCATTCCAAAAGCAAGCGTTGAGTTCTGTCCTAAATAACCCTCCTAGGAAAAACATATTGATGCACTCAACCAAAATCCCATAATAAGTCCAACTAGGCTATGACATTATGCCAATGAGAAAGGGCAAAGAACAATTACATAGTGTGTCGTAAAGCCTAAGGGTTTAACATTATGAAAACAAACAATAAGGATATTTCAAACAACAAAATCATCAAAGTGAAATTAATCAAAGAGATTACTCAAACACGGGTTGGAGACACATAAAACAATACTACTTAAGGAAAATGAGACAATTGAAATGGTGGCAAATCTCAATTAGAAAGGATCTCTATCTTCTACAATAGAGTAATTCCCAAAATCCACCCCGAACTTGTATCATACTTTTGATTTATCCTTAATTGCTTAAAGAAACGAGTGCTGAGATGATGCATAAGTGGGTATTTTACTATTCTGATCAGCCATTTGAAAGAACACCCCCCAAAAAAAAAAAAGTTAATTAAATGGTGTGAAAGGATAGATGAAAACAAATAGTTTATGAACTAATAAAAGAAAGAAAGAAAAGCTGGAACTGAACCATAAGTGCGGTTAGCAATTGCAATCCTTGCTCCCTTCTGTTTTGCACCATAAGCAAGCGCCTTGCCAGCACCTCCAGCACCAATAACAACAAAAAGCCTACCACCTAAAGGTGAACCAGTTATACTGCCACTTTTATGTGAACCTGTAGAAAAGAAGAGTTGGACTCAGAACACCTTACAGAAAGATTCTTGCCACAATAAAGAAAGATGAAAACTTAGCTAGTACAACATGATCAAACCTGTCAGTCCATCCTCAATAGCAGAAATAGCCCCAATATAGTCCGTATTGAACCCAAATAACTTCCCAGTTGGTCTCCTTATAATGCAATTAATAGCTCCTATTGACTGAATATTGATCACCATAAAAATAAAAAATAAAAAAATAAAAAATTATCAAAAAGTATGACTGAAAAAAGAAGAAGACATGTATTAGTATGACTCAAAGGTAAGCCAAGTACTCAGATGAAGAATATCAGCATCGTAACATGAATGGTTTCTTCAGTACCTTTGCAACTGGATCAACTTCATCACAGCACTTAAGTGCAGCTTCCTTGTGGGGAATTGTAATGCTGTTTTAGAAATGAAGACTACAAGCTGTGATCATGATGTAAAAAGAGCACGAAAAAACTGTATATAGATACTACAATTTCTATTTGACATTAAGGATGAGCAATAGAAAAATGAACCTGAATCCAGCAAAATCCATTGAAGAGTAAGTCTGGAGAAACTTTGCAATGTCATCTACCAACAAATGTACATAAACTCCATTGAAACCTACTGATTTGAATCCTTCATTGTACAGAAAAGGAGATTTGCTGTGGCTGACAGGCTTTCCAATAATGCCAAACACTTTTGTGTCAGGCCCTATCTGTGCAAAATTGTATAGATGTAATATATCCTTCATAGTAGGTTGACCAGGAGCTGAAACTATTCCCGAGTCAAGCGTACCAAAAGTAAGATAACCACCAAATTTTGCGCAAAGTATCCGTGAAATCAAACCCCTCTCACCCATTACAAGTCCTATCGTTGGGACCTGAAATTCCATGAAGGAGTCAGTTTTTTCTTATTGTATGAAGAATAAAAATGCAACGACTCAAGGAGAAGACATTTCATGCAGGCACCCATGTGTGCGCCCACAGATGAAGAGAGACAGGGTAATGCAAGTCTCTTTGCATCCTGTTCTCCTACCCTGCATGAGAGTAAGATGTCACTCCTTCTCTTCATAAATTCATGAGAAGATCAGTTCTCAAACAAGAGCTGTAATCTGCCAACATTCATTCCCTGAATGAACCCCAATTATTTGATTAGACTTATTATCATATTAATCATTTAAACAAACGGAAATGCTATCCAGTGACATTCACATAGTATTAAGGTGGCCCGGAACACGAGGCTCACACTATTCTAAAGTCTAGAAAAGGTCAGATGTAAATACCCTTATCCCCACTTGAGGGAAGGTTGTCTCCCATTTCAAACACGTAGCAACTGCAACGGAGTAACTTAATGCTGTGCCAAGGCACAACTCATGTTTAAAGAGTGTAACTACTAGCAGAAATAATAAAAAATGCACACCTTAGTCAACCATACATATGTGCATAGTTATGTTCTATGTATACAGTCGATTACAAAATCCATCAACTTCATATCCTAAATATTGGCATTATAAAATGGTAACTACAAAAACAGATTAAAATTCAGCTTGGCATGGATAGAAACTGTGGGCAAAGATTTAAAAGTACAATGCAAGAGCATACCACCTAAGCTGCTTACTTGAGAATGCACAGTTATTTTAAAAATGCGTGCTACATCAGTGATATCCAAGGCAGTGGTTGCAATCTTCACTATGTCAGCTCCAGTGGCTTGTATTCTTGCAACAAGATTTCCAAGAGCCTCAACAGATGGAGTATGTTGATAGTTGTGAGAAGAGACAATAACTTTAAACTTTTCAGGCTTCTTTCCATATATGGAGTCGATGAATTCATGAGCAACCTTCAAGAAAGGTAATAACATTTTAAAAGGTAATTCAGGTTTAAGCCTTAGGGGTTAGCCCAAGTGGTGTGGGAGGAGGGTGGGAAAAAGGGTTAGGTCAAGGATTTGATCTCTTCCAGTATAACCAAAAGACAAATAGGTAATTCAAGTTTTACAATCCCAGTGTGACAAATTTAAAATGGAAAAGGAAAGATAAATATCATTTGAATATCTTTGTCATGATGGCAATAGTAAGAATATTAAGCATAAAAGAATACATGTATTCACAGGCTTCTCCATCAATACTGCAATGCACAAGTTTTAGAGTTCTAATAACACATCCGGCAATCAATAATAAGCTCTTGAAAAAAATTTCAATAGTTTGGACTTGGGAGGAATAAAACGCTATCGCTTTCCCTTTGTTTCTGTATTATATTTTTTCATCCATGAGATGTGATCGATTTTTTTTGTTCAAGTACTTGTTAAATAGGGAAAAATTGATGTTTTTCACCTGCATGTGAATTTTTGGATCATCCTAACAAACAAAGAAACAAAAAACTTAAAAACTTAAAAACAAAAAGGAAAAGGAAAGTCCTCAATAAGTTCTCATTATAATCACGGAATCTAGCATCCATGAAGGACAGGACGGAAGAGATCATGTTACACGTCTTATGATTCCATCATGCCAAACATCATAAACGTTTTATAGTTATACATTTATAAGAGAGGAACCTGAAGCTCGACATCAATGTAATCAGCTCCAAGCTCCATCGCTAAGCGAAGTGCATCAAGTCGATCTTTTTCATCACCATCATACTGACCACCTTCCCATTTTGGTCTACAAAATACATAATATGATATATGACCTCGCTGGCAGATTATTAGGGTGATCACAGTACAAAATTGTTAGTGATCACAGTACAAAACTGTTAATGATCAGCAAAGAAACACATGGCTAGATATAAGGCAATGTCAAGTACTTTTGCGAAACGGGTATTGGGCACATCAGGCTTCACACAGTTTTAATTGTTTGTTGTTTTAATTTCTTTTGGATAAATTCTGATTGTCCCCAAATTGATCTATATGCATATAATATATGTGCCTATTGACTTATTCATCAGTCA